TTTTGGGTTTTTTCTGGGGCCCACCCCCCCCCGAAGAGGGGGGGAGGGGGGAGACCGAAATGTGGTTTTTACCGCTGTTGTGGTGACCGTTTTTTGTTGGGCATGGGATTCGGCAGCAAAAAGCCCGCCCTCCCAAGAAAATTTTCCTTGGGCATAGATACGGGAAGGGTTAGGAAAGGGGGTACATTATTGGGGTGGGACTCCCGTTGGTTAAAATGGGGAACCAGAAAGTTTTTAGGGGGGTTTAAAGGGAAAGGGGGGTGTTAAGGTTAGGAGGAAATTTTTCCCAAATTGTTTTTTTGTTGCCCCATTTTAAAAATATTTTTTTCCGTTTATGGATGGGGTGTGCTGTTTTTTTGGGGGTTTGGGGTGTGCCCCCGTTTTGCCCGGAGGGGGTTTTTTTTTTTTTTTTTTTTGGGTTTGGGGAAACATTCTTTATGAGGTCCCCCCCCCTTTTTGGGGTTTTTGGGGTTTTGGGCTTCCCCCCGGTTTTTGGGGGTGTTTTTGTTTAAACGGGGGGGGGAATTTTTTAAGGGGTTCCCCCCAGTTATTTTTCCTTGGGGGGTTTCCCCGAGGAGGGGGGGGGGGGGGGGGGGCGCTCTGTTGGCGACGAAGGGGCGCACTGGATGGAGTAATGTTGTAGTAGTTGTTTTTATGATGCGAGGTATGTATGTATGTATGTATGTGTCAGTCTTTCTTTCTTTCTCTGTCTGGCGTCCGTCCCTCCTCTTTGGTAGACTACTCTGTGATGATCGTGCTCGGTAATTAAGAAGGTTAAGGTACAACAAGTGGCGTTGTTAAGGTGCAACAAGTGGACGTTGTTATCACATGTTTTTTTTTTCCGTGGACCGTTGTGGCTACAGTTGGCGCCCGCAATTAAGAAATATTTTGTTAAGAAATTGAGGCTCACTTTTTCACGAAAAATAAGAAAATAGGGTTAAGAAACATTGCTCAATCTGAGTCACACAATTAAGAAATATCTCAATAAGGAACACAGCAGCGACCGCTGCCCTACTACATAAGAAACGAGGGGTTACGGGGGAGTGTGTCGAATAAGAAACAAACCCCACAGCTCTCTCACTCTTTCCCCCTCTCCCCCTACCCCCCCCCCTCCCATAGTGCATTATTATTAGTTGTACGCCGAGGGGGGAGTGTTTTTTTTTGCGGCGCCCCCTCCGGCCCCCTGCGGGCTCTGCGCTCTGCTCTGCTGGCGCTAAAGCTCTGATTTTCGTTGTTGGCATGTCAGCGTGCGGGTGAGGCATCATGCGGTGTTCATGCATTTGTTTAGTTTCAGCCCTCACTCATGAGGGGGGTACAAGACCTTGTAGCGATAGCAAGACGTTGCCGTTGATACATTTCGCTTCTAGGGAGTGGCCTTAAGTGCAGCCGTCGGTAGTGAGAATCGGGGTTGAGTACGGGAGGCGAGGAAAGCAGAGAAATAAGAAATTGCCGATTGAAGAAATTCAGCAGGATTTGGCTGCACGAAAAAATAAGAAACATGATATAAGAAACTGAACTACATACGCTGAGTTTATAGCCCACAATAAGAATTCGAGGCTGGACCTGAAATAAGCGTTTCTTAATTGCGGGCGCTAACTGTACATTCATGCATACATATTATATGTTTCTCTGACAATCAATATTTATTTTCTCTTCCTCCCGTGGACAGTTTGGCTATTTATGTATTTTAATTTCCTTCGTCTGAAAAAATACTTCAGTATCTTCTGCTGGCTGGTGTTCGGGGATGGATGCATGCCCTGGATGGATGGATGCCTGAACCAATCGATGTTGTTGTGCGCTGTATGCGTACGACGGCGACGACGTTGTAGTCGTGTCCACAATATAATGTGGCTAGGTTTGAGGGGAGGATCGTAAGGGTCCCTTTTTTACGTTTGCGGGGGGGATTGTAGGACCCTCCCTTTTTCATAGGCATGTAGTGCAATCTGATGAGTGGATGGCATGCAACATGCATACATGCCTCATGAACGCGTGCATGCATGCGTGCGTGATGATGGCGGAAAGAATGACAAAGGAAGTTCTCAAAGTCAGACCTCGTCCACGGCATGTATGTATGTTGTATGTACGGCTGCACACGGAACCCCCATAACAAACCTCAAGACTCAAGACTCAAGACAAACGATGCGCGCCAACAGACGCGCAGCGGCCAGACGGCGCGTGGGTCGGCTGTACAGTATGCATACACCGCGGCCATCCATCCATCCACGTTGATCGCTGAACTTCGGAAGGATTCACCGTAATATAGGTCTATAATTTAGCCTTGCGCGGAATCATAGCATAGCTAGATAGACAGCAAGAGTCTTCTAATAACGAAGAACGGGAAGACACAACAAATGCACGGGAGAGAGAGAGAGAGAGAGAGAGAGAGAGAGAGAGAGAGAGCGTTCGAGGTATACATACCGCCGCCGCGTGGGAGACAACGCAGAAGAAGGCTAGGCAGCAGTGAGCAAAAACAGAAGCTACCCCACACACATGTATGTCATGTGTGTACGCCACATATTATATATATATGAATGGTGTCAGGAAAAATTACCCCCGGCCGCGGGCGAACGCGGATAGGAAATTCGCCGTCGTCATCGATCTGCGGTCGAACACCCTTTTTCGTCCTCGTTCACTGAGTGAAATAAAATTCTTTGGCGCGACGGCGACCCGGCCCGGAGCAACAAAAGAACAATCCAACAAGCTGTGATCATGACACCGTCATTTACGCGCCATCAACCAATCAATGGATGGATGTAGGTGGGGTCACCGGCACACTACTAGCGTGCGTGCATGGACGGCAGGACAAAACGGGATGTAGCGGGCGGTGCGGTGCCCTCTGATGAGAGGTTTCACATAGCTTATGGTTAGGGTTACATATCAGGCACGCAGTTCGCTGATTGGTCAAAAAACATGTATGTGTAAAACATTAAAACATCTATTTGTGATTTGTGGCGCGCAGTTCGCTGATTGGTAAAAAAAACGTGCCACAAATGTTTTTCTAAACCGCGAGAAATTCAAGCGGGAGTCAAGCAAGCAACGAAAAGAGAGACAGACAGAGGCCCATCACGCCAATTGTTGGGGTTTGCGTTAATCTTCGACTTGCCTCATTTGTTGTGCATAGTCTACATACGCTGTAGAAACAATACAATAGGTTATGCTACCTCCAAGACGCCAAGCGCCCGTTCTCTAGCAACGAAGCCGGCGGCGTTCGCTCGCTGCAGACACCCAACCGTTTACCACGACAACGATAATTACCAAAACATTCATCATCAGGAGACAACGCCTGCACACGCTGTATTAATCTCGGGTGGGG